GAGGGGAGTGTGGACTTGGCTGCGGGTGGCGCTAAGATTGCAAATCGAGACTCTCCCTCAACCCCGCCTGTTGGCCTTGGATGAGCACCAGCTTCTGGGTCCAGCATGCGAGCCTGTCCTCCCTCCCGGCTGGTTCCCTGGTGGGCGCTCAGCCCGGCTCCGTGGAGAGACAGTTTGCTTCGTCTGTTTGTTCAGCAAATATTTATTCGATGCCTCTTTGAAATAGGAAATTGTCGGGGCTGGCAGGATCCTCAGACCATCTGTGACCCATTTATTCCTCTGAAAATGGGAAAGCAGAATCGCGATGGTTAAGAGAGGTCTAAGGTAAAAATAATAACCATAAATTGTTAAGTGCTTACTACGAGGAGACACTGTGCACTTTGAAGGCATTATCTAGAATAGTTTTCCCGACTTCACTGCGGTTTACTGCACACTGGCACGGAAGCGGCGATAGAAAACTGCTCCTCTCTCAACTTTGTTAATTGATGCAGAATCTGCTCTTTGTATCGTTTTCTTCTGAAAATCTTTTTCATAGTCTTGAAAAAAGTTGTGTATTGAAAGTACTTAATAAACGTGTTGACAAATACTGATGAATGCTGAGAGAAGTATGACTAAGAATCTGCCTTCAGTCGCACCCGTTTATAATTCGTACTACTGACAGCAAACAAAACAAAACACCTAAATTCTTTGTTTTGATCACATTAACTGCTCTTGAGTTGTCAGTTGTGAACCACTGGTTTATGTTTGCAGCTTTCCTCTAATTGCCTCCTCCACCCTTTGCTAATAATGATCCAGTCCTATTACATACACCTGGGTGTGGACTCGCATGCCATGTCACTTGCTTCTACCCTTTAGCCTTCCTGTGCTATATTTTCCTTACTTAGAATGTTCTACCAAATCTGATTCCTTTTCATAAAACTCTGCTAAATCCGATTCCTTTTCTTAAAACTCATGCTCACCCATCTAGGAAAATTTTTTCTGACAATTCCACAACGATCTAGTGGTTCTGTTTACTCTAGCATTGCCTGATCAATAGTTTGCAACAGGTGTCTGCACTTTTAAAAATTTTGCTTCTTTTTCTAAGTCACTTTCAATTGTTTTTGTGTACCTGATGAAAAGGGACCATTCATTTTAGTTTTTCATGTCTAGTAGAGTGTCTGACACAGTGGACATTGAATATCTGGTTTGTTGAAAGTTATGAGGAATGTAAATTCTGATAGGTCAAGGACCGGATAGATGGTTATTCATTGCAAAAAAAAGCATTGAGTATTTTTGACGTTTGCTGACCAATTATAAATAAGTAGAATATCTGGACTTCCCTGGTGGTCCAGTGCATTAAGACTCTACGCTCCCAACGCAGGGGGCCCAGTTTCCATCCCTGATCAGGAAACTAGATCCTGCATGCATTCAGCAACTAGGGGTCCGCATGCCCCAACTAAGAAGTCCGCATGCCACAGCGAAGATCCTGCATGCTGCAACTAAGACCCGGAGCTGCCTAAATAAATAAATAAGTAGAATATTTTCCTAGCTATGCACACCTAGTCAAAGGATATCTTTGCGTCTGTATAATGCACATCTAAATATTATTGCTGTCTGGCACATCTGAACTAGTCACCAGAGGGTTAAACAACATGGCTGCTTCACGTATAGCACTTTCACTTGCATTTAATAGTTTGTGAAATAGATCCCAACTAGCCAGGTTCTGTAACAAGAACATTTCAAATATATTCCTTGAAAAGAATAGTTCATATAACATTATGAAGTTCATGGGGACAAGGAGAGGTTGGTGTAATGTGGAAAAATGAATGGAGCATCAGAACACTGGATGGCAGATCCTAGCTATACCACAAATCTGGTACTTTAATCTCTGATCCTTACACAGGTAATTCTGGCTCTATATTCAAAATATGCCTGAATACTTCCTAGCACCACCACTGGTACAGCTGTAGTTCAAGTTGCCATCTTTTCTCGTGTAGCTTATTGTGGTATTGTCTTAATGGGCTGTTCCACTTTGCTGCTTACAATCCGTGATGCACAGAGCAACCAGATGGTCCTTTGTGTAACTCAGATCAGGTCACTCCTTTGCTAGGAATCCTCTACTTGATTTCCAACATACTTAAAAATCCCAAATCCTTTCCTTGGCCTAAAAGATTTGCTACTTGGCAACTTCTGCAGGTATCTCATTGACTATCCTATTCTTCCCCTCCGTCACTCTACTCCAGCCACTCTGGCCTTTCTGATGTTATTCAAACCTGCAAGCATGTTTCTACTTTAGGAACTTTGCACTTGCTATTCCCACTATCTAGGGTCAATTCTTCCTCCACACTGTCACATTACTAACTCTCTCCCTTAATTCAGATCTCAACTCAAATATCACCACCTAAGTTCACTATCCTCATTATTATGACCCTCATAAAATAGCATCCCTATCATTCCCCATCCTCTTAGCCTGTTTCGTTTTTCCTCAGACACATCATCTATTTCTTTCTTTGTTTATTGTCTATCTCTCCCCAGTAGAATGTAAACTGTGTGAAAACAGGATTCACTGATGTATCCTTGGTGCCTAGAATAGTGCCTACTGTGTGGTAGGTGTTCAGTAAATGTTGAATGAATGGATGGATTTAGGTCGAGTGAATTTCAGATAAATGCGTTTATTATGTCTCAAATCATTAAAGTGGAGATTCCTAATAATGTTGGATGGTTGATTTTCTTAATTATATTTTCCTCTTTCCAAAGAGCAACATGTCACACTACATATGTCATTTTCAAAACTAGGTCATTCTCCACATCCTGAATGCCAACAGCCCTTAAGAATTGCTGAGGAGAGAAAGTCTTAGGTTCTCACTGAGACGTATGAGGACAAGAATACTTCCATTCCATCCTAAACCTGTCTTTCTCTTTCGGGTTAACTACAATTCTCTGGTGACTCAGAAGTGTTACAGCATGTTTTTTAAAAGTCACTCTAAAAGTGACTCTTAGGTAGACATGAGGAGTAAAGCTAGGAGGTGTCTGCAGTATGCACAATTATCCCAACTGGCTCTTCAGGTGTTGTCTTTTTTGATAAGCTTGCTTTGTTCCTGGATGAAGGAGTTGCTTTTTTTCTAAGCAGGTGTGTCCCTTTCCATAACTTGTTTCTACTTGTGTGTGTGTGTGTGTGTGTGTGTGTGTGTGTATGGGTGCACTCATATGAGCACATGCCCAAAAGGAATTTAGAAATTGCTAGGCACTTACAGAAATATTTGCATTTGTTTAAAAAATGCTCAAATTCTTTGAAGAAAGCTTTACTATCCAGTACATTTATTTTGTCTTCACAGGCACACACTGGACCAGTCATTTCCTACATGTTCTCTCTCACCTATTCCTCACCACCATTCTTCCCAGAGATCTACCTCCCTCTGGTCTATCAAGAGGGCTCTTCTTTACTGTCTTGGCACATGCAACTTTAAGAAGGAATCTCAAGAACTTTAAAGGCTATGTGTATAAGAAATTCTGAATTGAAATCTTGGGGACGAAAAGAAGAGGGGCACAGGATTTGAACCTAGAATTTTTTCCAGTCAGCATCGATCAAATCTTAAAGTTATGGGATGCCTCAAAAGTGACCATAATGGCAGGCATCACTTCCTTAAGAAGGTCCTCCGGCCAAGGGTGGCCCCCTATCACACTGTTGTGGGTAGGTATTATATTGATGTAAAATGGGAAGGTCCACTATAAGGGCAGAGGTAAACAGGCTCTCAGACTCTTAGAAGGCTGCCGTCTTAACCCCAAATGGAACAATACCTAGTCTCCTATCCTTTTTGTGGTAGCAAGAGGGAGGGTAAGATTGTTAAATAAACTTCATTATTTCCTTCTTTCTTTAAGTAGTATATCAGATAGTGAAGTTGGAAAAGTAGAATATGAATCACTTCTGGATATCCATGATGTTCTAGAGAACCTACCATTCAAGGATAGGAGAAAACTTAAGAATCATCTAAATCTCCAAGTTTATACAAGTCACAGTAATCTGATCCAAGATTTTAAATATATTATTCTGAGTATTGACTTAGAGATGCTAGAGAGATAATAGGCTATGAACAGAGGCTTGTATTAGGCTAAAGTAAATTAAGCTGTCATAGAGATATTTATACAGTTACTCTTCTATCTAAGAAGTTGTGGAGAATTCCATTCCTGAGTCTTTGGGATACTCCTGGAATATTACACAGACAGAAAGACATAATCAACTATTCAATTTGCTGAAGCACATCTAGAAATTTCCTTTCTTATTCATCATCATCCTTATGTAAACAAAGTTATATGTACCCTGGAAGTGTAATTCTGTAAATATCTAGGTCTTTTTGAATTAGCCCAATAATAATAGTAGCTAACAATTATTGACCACTTTTATATGTAATAATGCACTTAAAACTCACAATTGTCCTTTGAGGCAGCAGCTATTAATATC